AACTGTCAAATTATGATATCGTTCACAAGGTGGTAAGTCATTGGATTTGCTTGCTAATATGATATTTGAATTTGACTGTTCCTATATGGAGATTCATTGGACTGGGCGATATCACAGATATCACACATCCGTGACCTTTGGAGTATGGTCGCACAGCTTCACCTAGAATGCGGGTTGTGGCTGTTAAAACTCGCATGCTTCATACCACTTTTCTGCGCCCTGTAGTCTACCAGTCAGCTAGTTTTCACCAAAGTTGTATAGAATAAAGCCGGTTATCGGATTCTGACTTCCCTAGTCCAGATCGTTGAGGTTAATTAAAATTCTGCGGCTAGAAATGCATTTCACTCTACAACACTTAAATGGCTGCATGCAAAATTTAATTTTGTTCCCTTCAATCCATGAGGCCGCATTCCGTTTACAGGACAGGTAGCCTGTCACTTCATCTTCTTCACTAGTTTTTCTCCTAAAGCTTAAAATTTCACGACCATGCCACAATCTTGTGATCTAATTGATGGACTGTTCCGAGGCACAGTCTTTTGTGTTCCTGTGAACAGCAGTTACTTTCATAAGAGAATGGTGACCTAATTTTCCTCAGGCTTCCATACGCGCAACATGGCACTGCACCATTCATTTGCCTATAAAAGTTGCTTTGCAAATCGGCATTTATGTTGCACCCATAAGGTTATTTGCATAGAACTTCACAGTATCGATAGTGCAACAGCTTCTATTTAACCAAAACAGTGAAGAACGAGGACAAATTATCAACTGTTCAAGTTCGTCATTTCCGGCACACTTTTAGAGGTAAACTTTAGGGTGTCAACGTTTAGAAACAAGGTGTAATTCATGTTTAGCATCGTGACAGCAACCAAACTAAAAATGCATTGTACCATTTTTTGAGTCTTCTGTTTCTGTTACATTTATCCACGTTTTAAAGTGAGGCGTTGTTATGACCACAAAAGTACTTATACGTGCTCTTGCAATAACATCGATGGGAGTCCGTCAATCAGTACTGTTAAACACTTCGATAAATTTTTTGAAGTAGAATTCGGTTGTCCTTCTGGTCACCAAAATTAGGCTGGTATGATAAATAAGCTAGGAATTTTTGGTCTGAAAGCTTTAAATGCCGACTGTAATCTAAGGTAAGCCTTCAGGACAGTCGCTATGATGGCAACGGTATAATAACGTCTATTCAAAAAATGTCTATTCAAAAGAACCGTTTACCTACTTCACCACCGATGAAAGATATAGCTCTTGCACGAATATAAATTCAGACCAACTGGAGTCCAAGATGGCAGACGTTACCATCTGTATGGTCAGCAGTGACACCTAATCACTCCTAGCTTCGGAACCTAATTGCCTGCATGACCAAACCGACTCGAAAAAATTCCTGTTGAATGTGTATATCTCTGTCACTAGATTGCAGTCTGCCAGAACGTATGTTGAGAACGCAACTAAACATTTTCCTCCATCTTGCTTTGCATCGGGCTCAAGTAAGCTGGTCAGCCAACCAGAACACAGGCTTCGGTTTACCGGAATGCAGGCCACCGGAGTGCCTTCAGCCCTGAAAATTGATGCAACACCAACACCGTAAACATCATTAGCTACTGCATCCGGATTAGATGCTAAATGTCTGGGCTCGTGCTCTGTGGTTTCAGACGAAGCCAGAGACCTGTCTGCATGATTTAAAAAAGGAAAGTGAAGAGTTGGCGAATGAAGACTCTCGTCTTATTTGCTGGAAATTTCTGGTTTCGAGGGTTTCAGGATGGAACAAATTGCATCATATCTCTAGGGAATTATATTTATTTGTCTCGTAGAATGGTTTTAAGAGGGGCCAGCTACTATTTGGCTCACAGACTGTCTGACTAAAGAGTGCAGATCGATAAGCGAAGGCCTGAAATAGACATCTCAGTTGTTTGAATAGAAGATCCATGTTTGTTTGTGTGGGCGTAGTGCAGAACTTGACGTGAAACGCGCGCCCCGCAAGATGAAAACACCGTTGACCAATAGTGATATGGATTTTAGGAGCTTCTACCTCGCTTTCACTGCAGTTGAACTTGGGCTTTGATTACCCAGTCACCAATGCTCAGCAATGTTAGCATAAGGGAATCGATAACTTCCAACATCGATCGGCCGGCTCCAAATACAGCGGAGCTGATCCGGGAGTTGACCAGTCAGCAGGGAGCACCGGTCAAAATCCAATGATGCTTACAAAGGGTGGTGAATAGCAATACCATGAAAACACAGTATTGCATAAATGACTTGAGGTTCCCCTGGAGATAAGCTCAGAAGTGGTATTAACCGAAAAAGCTTAATTTGTCGAAAGAAACTTTTCCTAAAACTTAGTTGGACACTGTTTCGTAATAATTCATATTCAGAATGGTAACTTGGCCAAGTCATGTGACGCATCAACTACTTGATCAATGCCTCCCTCCTCAACTGACGACTTTGACATGTTTAGTAATCTTTTGGCAGTCTTGGGTGGAGGATCATCAGCATTGCCTCGAACATGTTGAACATCTAAGAGGTCTATTGAACTCCACATTTTACATGGTTATTCATTTAAACCGTTTGATAATGGGTTTATAAGCAGCAGAAAAATAGTTTGTTTTATTAATTAACATAAACTATAGTTGATTTTATGAACAAAGCATCACGAGCCGTCTAGTATAAACTATAGTTGATTTTATGAACAAAGCCGACTAGACGGCTCTAGACCAGACGACACACTGTTTTGCTCTCAGGCTTCATAACATATGATACCGCCCTGCACCCTAGATCATCGAGTTGGGCGGTCGGTAGGCAACAGGTCACCTGATTTTCAGTTTGAAACACAAACATTCCATGCAGCGCCAGCCGGAAATCAGCGCACATTCATTTCCTAGTCGAAAGCTCTTTGACAACAAACACACGCTTAAATATGTCAGTGTGATCGACCACCATTGGTTGTCGTCAGCTGCATGCGCTAAATACAAAAAGATTTCAGATCCACGTGACATGGTATGTACGGGCCTAGATTGTTCTGACTTCAAAACAAGCTGGAGACAACCGTGTGCGAAATCAGAATGAAACTCTCCAACGTGCAGCTGGCTGAATCAGCTACATACTTGTAGGCTGTTTTGATGAGATCTATGTTATTCACCAGCGCACTGCCCTTTCAGACACACGTAGCAGATTCTGTTCACGATACTGAATGAACTCGCTGTTTCTGATTTCTCTTATTTGGTGTATTGAACGCATACAGATCAACTGACCAAAAACAACGGTTTCCATAGCGGTCAAAGGAACTAAATTACGTGTTGATACCATAACCAATTCTTGCTAACAGACTGTTGTGATTGTGTTCTGTTCATTCCCACTTTACTGATGCCTTGCTAACTCAAATCCGGTTTTGGACTTTCATGTATGATAAGTTGTTACATGTTAGATTGAAACTAGGTCAAATGGTTAAGCTAGATTATTTCACGTAAGTTGACGGATGCACGAGGAGGTATGATACCTCCAAATTGCCCGATTTCAGACAGGAACAAGCGAAAAATAGGAGTCCGATTAGATTAAACCATCTATCGCTTAGAAGCTCTGGTTATGTTGATCACACGAAAGGTAGTAACGGAACAATATTTGCACTGTACGTCAACGCACCGGATGATACACCTTGTTACTAGCTCCAGGGATCCCAGCTAAAACCTGAAGTCTGTCCAAAATTTACCAATAGTGGATGGTTTGTAAGGTCAGACTGACAATTGGCTTACACATTGAGTATATTATCAAGTCAGATTTAACGTCTGATCTCTGAAGAAGTTGTTTTGGCTGTGAAGAATTTTGACGGGCCTCAGCCGTTTTGTAATCACAGCGGCATCATGCTTCAAAACACATGCTTTTACGCTCCACACAATGCTTTCGAAAGTTACGAAAGTTTCTTCAATCTCTTAGGTACATCTTGACTAGTATCAACGAAAACGGCTTTATGAGTCTCCGGCCACACAAAGCCTGACGGCGTAGAACAAAACAACCGTTCCCAGTAGTCTTTACTATTTTCAAGTAACCTACACTGTACGTATACTCCACATAACATTGTGGCCTACTTATCTAGATACTCTATTGGTGTGTACTCATATATGTTTGTTCCATAAGCTGCGGACACGGGATCTACTCCCCATGGACTATAAACCCAAAACGTTAAATTTCAGCTAAATATTTTGGATACGCATCAAGCATGACAGCTGGAACCACAACTTATTGCAGGATCGGATATCTGGCCTTATTTTCAGACAGTTTTCAACTTTACTGACTTATTTGTCTTTCTCTGGCTGTCCTATGACAGACGATGAAGCCAAATCTTGGATATCCCCAATCCCAACTTCCCAGACAGGAGATATCTTCCTGTGACGGTGATTAACAACGGGTTTCGGCGTAGGCAGTATGTGAAATAAAACGTTATATCAATAATTTCTGAAAATGAAGTAAGAATTAGTCGTTTTTGTTACGATCAGCATTCCTTTTGATTTATTGTTTGACGACGACATGAGACTCTATTTCATATAGACGTAATATACTACTTGTAAGGTTGCTGAAACACATCTACATTCCGCGACCGCTTTCACACTCTTTGGGGCTCATCAGGCAGGTGCAGTTCCAAAATTTTCATCAATCTCATGTTCTACTTGGACCCAAATTGCACGAAATTAGTGATATACACTCATTTACATGCCAATTCGGTTTTGACGGGAGAGTCACCTGGAACACAGCTGAATCTCTCGTTTGTGTTTTTTAAGCAAGTGAGCATGCTGCACCATGCCGGCTCTATTACGTGTATCCAAAGACGAAATTAAATACCATAGGCTCCCTATAGATACGCTTCCCACTGATAACCACTGACAAGAAAGCCATATTATCTTTCTTATTTTAGCTCCGATAAACCGATGAAGACCAGATCCTAGAGGAATTGGAGGCGCAAACTTTGTCACGAAAAGGCGTTGAGGTGGAACCTTCCAAACAACCCAATGAGCACTAATTCCTGCTACTACAAAATTCTAGGACTGGAGAGAAATGCTACGGAGGAAGATATTCGGCGGGCTTATCGTCAACTGGCACTGAAATGGCACCCAGATAAGAACTTAGGGGATTCCGGTGAAGCTGAAAAACGGTTTAAAGAAATCAGTGCTGCTTACGAAGTGCTTTCAGATGCCGAGAAACGTGCAATCTATGATCGATACGGGAGAGAGGGCCTTAAAGGAACTCGAATGCACCCAAGAAGTCAGTCCCGTGGTGCTCAGATTCGCAGAAGGAGAACGATGGGATCAGGCACTGGCCTTCACAGTGGTTTGTTCGATGATGGCGACTTTTTCTTCCCATTCCATGAATTTGGCTTTGCTTTCCGTGATCCCGAAGTAGTTTTCAGGGAATTTTTTGCGAAACATGTCAACATGATGAATGCTTTCGCCGAATCAACGCAATTGTTGCGGACTCAGAGTAACACGAGCCCTAAACGTTCGGTGGAACAGGAAAAACAGGTTTCCAGCAACCCAAAGCGAACATCGCATCCGATTCGCACGGGAGTGGGACATTCGTTCACATACAAGGTATCTCCGCATAGTGGTCATTCAACCACTGTCATAACGTTTGGGTCCAGTAATCGGCCCGGAACCCAAATCAAAGGCACGTTCCGATCAACATCCAGTCGATTTGAGAACGGTAAATGTGTCACGACGAGGCGCACTGTTCAAGATGGTGTAGAAACTATTGAGGTGGAAGAGAATGGCGTGCTGAAGACCAAAACAGTCAACGGCCATCCGGTAGCTATTACAAGCAGTTGACGGCAACTCGCCAGATTTTTTTACCGTACTGTCTGGCTTTGATAGATCAAAACGGTCCCATAGATAGCTATTTTCACATTATACTTAATCAAAGCTGTAAAGCAGAGCTACTTTTTAGTTTTACGTCATATCTTGCATATCTTCTGTTCAGGTTGCACCAGACACCTACCCGGTGAGAACTAAACCACATTGAGTGGGCCTGACATACAGGTATCCTTGTAAATTGTAAGACAAAACTCACTCTGGTGCTCCACTGCTACTTACTTAAGGCTTCTTTTTCGCTAAATGTTTTCGAACTACTCAAGCAGATGAAAATCTCACCAGTCTTGGATAGTCAAAACATCTCACTGTATCTTTATCTTTATCTTTCACGTTAACTTTACATATGCTCGGTTTTGACTGGATTATTTTTTCGGACTTCATTTTGCTGGCATTTCGGTCGATACGGTGAATGGAGAACATAAGTTCAACTATTTTGGTCGAGAAGGTTCTTCAGGCGTCTCGGATTTTCTGTCATCAGCATGCGGGGATTATCGCCTGAGTTCTTTCGGGACACAGCGGATGGGCTTCGACCTAAAGTGCACAGGAGACAGGCTTGTGTTATATTTTGGGTCATTCTAAATGAGTATACACCACAAGTTTTAGTTTTCCATTCTTTCTCTTGCTTTACGCAGTCTGTTTAGGGGAAGATAAGATGTTCCGTGGAGTGGAACTGTTTTTGTTAACATAATGGCCTTTGTAGTACACATTTCATGTATAAATGTCGACCAAAACTATTCAAAAGGTCAACAGATGAAATTTTCATGACAGCATGACTAAGCTTTATCATCAGCTGTTTACAGAGATTTAGAACCACTGTTTGGGCGAGATAAATGACAAATAATTTGACGGGCGAAATATGTGAATCCAATCTATCCCGTTGTGATGGAAACGCAAACAGTACAAGGCAATCCATCTGGCCCTGGTGCACGACTAAGTATGTGCCTCACATCTACGAAGGGAAAAGCACTCCTGTAGGATTGAACAAGAGCATATCCGAACTAAATGCCAGCAGATGAGCCAATCAATATACCAGACTGAAGTGCGTGAGCTTGATATGATGGTTTAGCCAAAAACGATGTTTCCCTTCAGAAATACAGGACTAAAGTGACATTCAGCAACCCACAGCAGCGTTGCCGTCAACACGCGATCAGCTCAGCCCAAAGGTCCATGAGTCTTTAGACCACTTTAAGGTCATTTGGGGAACACCTTTCAAGTTAAGATTGGCTCCATGAGAGCCTAGACTGTCCAGTTTGTACATCAGAGACTTCGTAACGGCGATAAACCCAATGACTACCCGATGTAGTAAACACATCAGCACTTAGTCCTTTCCTCCCCCTTAATACGAGACCACAATGAAAAAAACTGCGTCTGGTTTATAACAAATGATCTGATACTAAATGATACCCAGCTAATGGAAACGTTTCAAATCCTGTGTTGAAGTGTAAATGTGAGGTTGATAAAAAAAGCTGACAAGGAAAAACGACTGAGTGAATGAGACAGAACTTGGATCAATCGGAGGTTAAATACCCACAAATCACATCCAAGGAATAATCTAAAGCAATGATAGAAATGCGCTGAATGTGGCTCACCTAGATTGGCATAGTTCACAAACTGGGAAAACAGACTGTCTTTCGGAAACTCGAGGCATTTCAATAGCCGTCGCATGTGTAGAAAGATTGAATTTATTTCCACAAGTAGCGCGACAACAGCATATCCTATATAGGTCCCGGATACCACAGCTGAGGTGAAACAGGTCATTACCTACACGTATGATGAATAGCCAGTGTAAACTTACCGCAAAGTGATGAACAAGAAGTTCAAACGTTGAACGCTCCCGTGACCACCAAAACATGTGCACCGAGTCTGCGATAAAATACCCTACAAAGGATTAGACAGAAGACCACCCAACTTACCAAGCGAGTAGGCAACTAAGGATAGAGAAAATGGAGACTGTGCAAATATCAAATCCTTTGACAAGTCGGGATGAATATAGAATCTGAAGTAGAAGCATTAAGGTGTACGTTGCTAATTACGCGAGCAGCGCGCCAATTCCCGTAACAGATGCATGGACGCAGGAAAGCACCGAATTTCGCCAAACAAACAATCCTTTCGATTCGCTACACTGTCGCTGCCTCGCGGTAGATGAGATACATGATGGGGGAAAACAAGAGGCGACATAGTCCACCAAAAAGTGAAAGGCAAACGATGAAGCGGTTGTGCCAATGGCAAGCATTTGAAAGGCAAAAACAAAGTTGTACAAAGGCTACAACTGGCTGCGATGATTTTTCGGCAGTGGGTCACGCCAAATTTGTCCAGTGATTGATCTGAAAATTAGATGCAGATTGGTGAGGTACAGTAACGGTATGCCGTAGTGTTACGGTTCGGTCACGCAGCGAGCAAACAATATGATAATGCGGATTGTGGCAATACTCTATCCCCAGCTATGTTGCTTGATACAGACTCCTAGCACGGCGAATAGTAAGAAGACGAGAACCTCGGACACAAACTTTAATAATCCAACAACACACGATCAACAGGCGATGCCCGGAGCTTCCGAACCCAAGTCAGTGGAAAGAAATGGTATCCTGTACGTGGTCGGATTTAAATTTTCTTGGAGTATCAATAGGCCATTGATTTTTCATAGTTTGACCTTGAAGATGCCAGGAGTTCGCTAGCACACATAAAAACAGCGTTTTCTGGGGGATATTGATATCCCCAACTCCTTTCCTTTCTCTCACGAAGGGCAGACGATTTGAAACGTAACTCCTCTTCACGAATTCTCTGTAACAGTCACCTATGGTACTCCATGTAAACTTCTGGGGGATATTGATATCCCCAACAGTTTTCCTTTCTCTCACGAAGGGCAGACGATTTGAAACGTAACTCCTCTTCACGAATTCTCTGTAACAGTCACCTATGGTACTCCTCCAGATGTAAACTTATTCCAGAGTGCTAATCAATCGCCTAAACAGTGAATTATTGGCGACGTGATTCACTTCAAGGTTCGGCAAAATTGGATATCGAGTACGGTTGTTTCATCCCCCCTATTTGTTGCCACTCAGTTGGTGCGATGGCGATAAAATCTGCCTTTTTCCAGAGTAAATATCATCCTTATGCTTTTTGTGAAACTTCTGGAAATCAGTGGTATCCCAAAGGACCCTGGTAATGTGGCGACGTGTACATTTACATAGTGAAAAAGAATAGACCGTTTCAGTGCAGCGGATAACAGTCGGAAGAGAAACGCTGACACTAAATTACCTATAGTGGGAAACAAGATTACGTGGCGGTCCAATAGGAGAAGACGTAGCAGGCAATAGCGAGAAAGACAGTGGCAGTGCTACTCACGCAGAGTATCCCAATAATTACATCGGCGTTTTCTTGAACAATCAAGGAAAACTTTCAGTCTGAGGACAATGGTAGCCGGTAAAAATTCAAAACAAATAGTCATTTGAGTCAGCAGAATAGAGGATACAGGCAGTACACAAGGAAAATTTCACCGTTTCTTGGTAACCGGCATTCCCTTCACATTCGCCTGGGGAAAACGATTGCCACTCTTCATCTGCATGGTACGTGTTGCACTCGTGGATAGAAGTCACTTACAATACTGTTCTCTACAGGGAAGCTTCCGGAGAGGAAACAATCCCGTTGGGGGGACATTTTTTATGTAGCCTGGATTTTCACTGCAACCAACCCCGCAGATTAGAAAATGCAATATATTCCGAATTCTTGTATTTCTTGTTTTCCAGGGAAAAATAGCACAAGGAAACTAAAACATGTTGTCAACCTGTGATTTTGATTATGGTTAAGTGGTTGGTTTCATAAGATAACTTGGTCACAGTTCAGTTCGGGATATGTGCACCACACCGCCCGTCGGATGGCCACACGGGGGAAATACGGACTGATTTAAACAAAGATAGATTTCTCGACAACAGCCGGATATTTAATGAGTTTTCAACAGTTGGTCCATCTCCATTGCTGTGGTGGTCACACAGATTCCAATTTATGATCTTCTGGTCTATGAAGCATCGGTGAAGCATCGGTGTTGAACACTGATGTCATGCTGTCGATGATGATGATGGTCTATGAGGTACAATGACCGGTGAGCAGTTTCATCTGGCTCACTGGTGTTTCGTAGCCAAAGAAATGCAAGAGTAATGAATATCTGGCGCCTCAAGGATAAATATAATCTCTTGTCGCACATTAAAATGGTTTGGAACAGGCGGACAAAAATGAGACATCAGTAACCCATTTGGTAATACAACTACATGAATGAGGATACATCCTCATCTGTGAAGCATTTTGTTATTCCCGAAAAGTTCTTCCTCACAAGCGTTCACTAATGGACACAGCTAGATGACTTGAGTTGACTAGATTTGCACGTCGAGAGATAAATTGATCTCAACCTTAGAAGCTGGACTGAATAACCGTCGGAGAAAATCTTTCTAGTAAGCTGCTTGCCACTTGTTATTGAAAAAGTGTGCTGCCAAATCCCAACGAGAAAGACTTTTCCATAGTTCATTTGATGCTTGTGTGTGCAAACTTCGCTAGGAAATGTTTCTTAGTGTGCTAAAGTGACTGGCGAATAGGATACCTTCGAAAAAACGGATGGAGATAGTTTTATATTTCTGAACAGGGCAACCTCAAAAATACTCAGGCTACTTTTACTCCAAATAGTTTCGCTCATGCATTCAGTTGTTCGATCCCTTTTGGCATGTCACGGGATATCGTTAAAATTAAACCCCTACTGTTCAAAAACGTACCCGTCACTGACCAAACAAATACTGTCTACTTGTTTCATCGACCGGTTATTGTGCGCCGGAAAACCGCTGATCTGGTTGGTGTACACCCACAGGACCTAGTTTGCATTTTATCGTTTACGGGTAAGCGTTTTTTGCGCTGGTCTGGCATTGTCAACTTGTCTGTTGAAAATGTACTTTTACCACAACAGCTGCGAACTA